TGTGTGTTCTAGAGAAGAGACGGAAGGGAGCTAGTTTTTATTCTGTAGGCAATGGGGAAATCAAGAAAGGCTTACGAGCAGAGATTCACCTGTTTCGAAAAGATACGTATGGTAGAAAAAAAGGGCTAGAACAGGAAAAATGAAAAGCTGAAAAGCATCCTAGAATTAGCTACCCAAGACAGAGGAGAGCTTGAACTATACAAATAAAAATGAAATATGGGAGATACAGAAAGCTCAGCACTTTCAAAACATGCTTCTCTCCCACCTCTGGCTTCTATAAAAGTAAGTGTTAGTGGGCAGGGTGGGCAGGCCAACGAGAAAGAAACACAGCACCCAAACGGAAATACCAGGGACATTTATTACAGTAGATGGACTTTCTGACATCTCAGATCTGAGCCAATTCTAGGAAAAAACTAAAGCAAAAGTCTTGTAATGCCAAAATTTCCCAACTAGGGAAGTCATCGGGCATAGGTGGGGTAGAACTGCTGCTATGGGTTTCTGAGATTACAATTCTTTATGGGAGTAGAAAGCCCCATCTTTCTCCCGCAGAGCAGCTGCCCAACTCCTAGCCATGACACCTCCAAGTATTAGGGCACATTCAAAAGCAGCAACAAATACTAACGATGCAGCATCCCAAAGAGCTGTGCTTGGTGGTAAAACTGGAAAAATTGCCACCAAGCAGAAAAGATCAAATCCTCAACCACATTTCATCTACCCTACACATGGGCATTCATTTGCTTGTGGAGTAAACAGGTTAGAGAGAAGGTTTAGGTGTAATTCTTTAAACAGTTTTTTGAGGGCAGAGGTTAAGGTGAATATCACATTCTAAGCTTTAATCCTGACTTCTTTCAATATACAAAAGAGGCTGAGTCTTGTTGAGTTTAGTAATGATAGGATATACTTATGGAATTTAGATGTTATTTAAACCTGGAAATGAAGTAAAACGAAGGAGAACAGCACTCAGAGAGCTCTGGAATGAAAGGATTTTTGAACAATTTGAAGACATTTTACTTCTTATAATCTAACCCTTCATGTCTTAGAAAATTACAACAAAATATTTTTAAAGGAGCCTTATGTACACCACAGTCTTAAAAAAGAACAAAACCAAAACAGTATGCGCCTAATACTTCTAGCTTTCGAAAGACGATAAGTGATGGCACCCGACGATGAAACACTGAAAGATGGTTTCCCCTGTGAGACATCATGGAGGGGCAGGGCAACTCTCACTATTAAAATGCATTCTTCCATTTAGGAAGGTTGATGGGTGTCAGGTCATTGAGTCAGTTTAGCCTCCTAGAGCCGCTAAAGTACAGCAAAACAAAGCACTGCCCAGTCCTGCCCCATCCTCACACCACCATGAAGCACTGCCCCGTCCTGCCCCATCCTCACACACCACCATGAAGCACTGCCCCGTCCTGCCCCATCCTCACAGTCACTATGTTTGAGACCATTTTTGCAGCCACTGTTATCACTTCATCTCATTTAAAGGTCTCCCTTTTTGTTGGTCCTTTACCTCACCAAGCACGATGTCCATCTTCAGGAACTGGTCCCATTTAGAATACTGAAAAGTTTAAGTCATTTATACCTAATTCAGTCATTTGACCTAATTTCTTTTAGCCAATGATCAGACTATGTTCTCCCTTCTCTAAGGGCTAATCACAGCTCCTGTTAAGAATAGTAAAATGTATCACTGACTAAATAAAGTAAAAGTTAGATACTTATTTTTACCATTTTCTTAAATAGTTAAGTCGTATACTTGAGTTTCTCAGCCCAGATGACAAAAATGGCCATACTCTCCTTAAGAGAAAAACAAAACATAATGAACGGTGTAATATGTTGATCTATATATGTGTATATTATATAATTTGATGAGATGCAAGACAATGAGGAAGCAGTATAGTAGTAAATGAAAGTGTTTACTGGCTAGGCAGGCTACCTAGAAACCATTTTACATTTCTAGTTCGTTCAGTTGCTATGCTGTACATGGAATAACTTCACTGAGCTCGCTGAACATATGATTTTAAATATCAAAAAAAAGAATCAAATGGTCACTTGTTACTGCTAAAATTCTGATTGGGAAAGAAAAGTTTTCAAACATTCCAAGAATTCAGATTTGTGAAACAAGTGAACCCACACTGTTCTGTGAGCGCTCTGGCAGGAGGCAGGAAGAGGGTGAGAGAGGAGGAAGAGCCCTGGGCTCGCGAGAGAAAGATGCAACAGGATCTCTGTGAAGTCAAGAGAAAGAAACAGACAAGAGCTAGCAAAGACATCGATAAAGGAATCAATTTACCTAAAGTATTTTTTTCAGTTTGAAACCTCTCTTAGTGTTACTGGTCTAGAAAAACGAAAACATTTCTATAATTTCCCCTGGCAAACATGGCTTTCCTACACAGGTCTCATGATTCGCACTACAGAATGCTTTAGCGATGAAACTCTTGATTCTACATCATACACCCAACTTTGTGTTAAACTAGACCAATGCTTCTCCAGCGGGGCTGATTTTGCCCCCAGGAAACTCGTGGCACTGTCTGGAGAGATCTGTAATTCTCCTAACTTGAAGGAGTCCGGGTGGCCCACAGGAAAGCAGTTAGCTGCTAACCAAATAGGTCAGTGGTCCAATCTGTTAGCTGCTCTGCAGCAGAAAGATGAGGCGGTCTACTTTGGTACCAAGATTAGAGCTGTGGGAAGTGCACCAGGCAATTCTTTGTTCATTAAGGGTCACTCTGAGCCAGAAGCGATGCCACAGCAATGGGTTGGGTTTGGGTGGGTCCACCTTGGCAAAGGAGACTAAACAAAAACTAACCCCATTACCATCGTCTGACTCATATCTAAGGGTTGACAGGCTTTGTACTCCAAGTTTGGGTGGTGTACTGGATTACGAGTTGGGCTAACGGCAAGATCATAAGCTTGAAGCCCTCAAAGGCTCGTGGGAAAAAGATGAGCCCTTCTGCTCCTGTAAAGAGTGTTCAACTTTGGAGACCCAAGGGGCTGCTCTGTTCTGTCCTTTGAGTCACTATGAGTCCGAATTGACTCCACAGCAGGGAATTTTATTTTGTTTTGTGGCTTTGTAAATCTTTAAGGGAGCAGACAGACTCATCCTTTTCCCACTGAGCATCTGGCAGGTTTGAACAGGTGACCTTGTAGTTAGCAGTCTGACACTTACCCAACATCGGTTCGTAGATACCAAAGATACTACTAAATAGGGTATACACTTGAGAACAGCCCCACCACACAGCTTTATCTGACCCAAAGCTTCAATAGCGCTAAGGCTGAGACACAATAATCTGTTCTGAATATAAGTAAAAAATAAACATGGACCTTAATCCATCCCTTCATAGATATATTTCATAAAGCATTACAGCATTTCCCTTCACCAGAGGAACCTTTTTGCAATGTCAGAAGCATGATGTCAGGCTCTCTCAAACTAAGTTACACTGAAATATATGAAAATAAAATGTAGCACATATGGGCTAAACTAGAGAAATGAACGTTTAAATTCTGTTTTATTTCTACTCTTAAGCACGTTCAATTATCTGTCTTTGCCAAGCTGTATCTTGTTGATGTTTAGTGCATTACAAATATACCAACCTGGTCAAAAATATAGTATTTCTTATTAATATGAAACCTTAGGTAAACACTATTACCTGAGGAAGTTTTATTGGGGGTGGGGGGCAGGGGCAGGGGCAGGGGAGAATAAAGGGGAAGTCAACCCAGGTCTTTAAAATGCAGTTATTTCACAGTTTACTTTCAGAATGACTCAGATCATTATTATTTTCAGCCACTCCAAGTTTGCTGCTTCTAAGCTTACTACTGAAGGGGGGAAGCCACCATTTTTCTCTGCAGTCATTAAACCAATGACACAGAAGCTTACTGAAAGCAGGTCTGTGGTCATATACAAAATCACAATGCATTCCTTGCACACACATTGGAAGCGGAAATGAAGATTCAACCCAAATAACTAAACAACGAGGGTGGTGGTGGTGGTAATGAAATAAAAGAAAACCCTGTCTCACGGGACGAAACACTTCACGCTGTGAATATTTTCTCAATACAGCCCCTAGTCAAAAAGCGGATTCATTCTATTTTCTCTCCCTGCCACAATGGAAAAAGACCTCCACGTAGCGTTTCCCGTGAGAACAAATAAAAGGCTGGTTGGTCCCTGGCAAGCCCTCATCCATCCGAGGGAATCCAGTGGTTGGCGTGAGCCCTCTGCACCTTTCACACGGCTTTTCACTACTGAGTTCTCAGTCTCCTCGTGGAGCGAATGTAACCCAACTTCGTGACTCCCATGCCTCCACGGTAATAAAGATCAATCACCGAGCTCAGCCGATTTCCTTGGGGAAGCTCAATACACTCAGTGGTCCCTTCACACTGAATCGCCATCTGAGGCTGACAGCATAGAGACATTTCACCCCACAGCGGCAGGTGCACAAAAGGTGCACGGATTTCAGGAGAACCACCACCCCGTGGATGAAAGGTGGGGGGTGGGGGCTTTATTTCCTTATGGTCTTAAGCAGGCTGAGCGAACTTCCAAGAAAAGGTTTCCGCGCGATCCGCTGCCTTAGAATCGCTGCTGGGTCCCGGGCAGGACCCGCAGGCAGATTTCCCTGCGCGGGGAGGCGAATCCCCACCCTCGGCCGTGGCGGGAGGCGGCCCCGGCGCGGGGGGCGTGCGGACCCGCCTGGGCGCTGCGCGGCTGCAGAGAAGGCAGGCTCTCCCTCCCACACCGTTCTCCTGCGACACCAGGGGACACGAGGACCCGCCGGGCACCGCACCGGACCTTCCTCTCCGACAAGGTCCTCCGGCGACACTGGGGGAGAGGAGGAGCCCGACGCCTGGGCTCTCTTGTGCAACCGTCTCCGGCGCGCCCCGACGCGCCCGGGCCGCCGGAGCAGGTCCCCCTGGGGTTCGAGGACGCCCAGGTCCCAGCCGCGGCCACTGGGGCGCCCCGCACCCCGCGGGCGGTCCCACCGCCCGGTGCCCAGCCCGGACCCCCTTACCCAGCAGCAGCAGCTTGACCTCGCGCGCCGCCTTCTCGCCGTCCTCGCGGAGGTTGCGGTCGATCATCTTACTCCTCTCCACCGCCGCCTTGTCCTCGGCGCTCAGCGTACAGCCCATGGTGCCAGGAGCGAGAGGTGGCCGCCGCTCCCTCGCGTCCGGGGCGCTGCCTCCCAGCCCAGGGAGACCGGTTCTTCGCGGAGGCGGCCGTTCCCAGGTCTCCCGACGTGGCCACACCACCCGCACCCGCTTCGTCCCCCGAGTCGACGGAAAAGGAGTGTGTGCCAAGGGGCCGGCTCTCCTTCAGGCCCGCCGCAGCTCCGGGCGCCCCTCCGCGCCCACGATCCCGGGTTGGGAGCCTCAGAAGCAGCCGCTGCACCCTCCCGCCGCCGGCCCCGCCGCAGCCACCCGAACGAAGCCCGGCAGAGCTCCGCGTCCGCGCGCCGCCGCCGCGGCCCCGCCCCTCCCGCCCCTCCCACCGGCCGGGACACGCCCCGGCGCGCTCCCGCGCACGTGCCCCGGACAGCGCCCCTCGGAGCGGCGCGCGCCCCGGGTCCGAGCGGCTCCCGGAAGCGCTCTCCGATGGTGGCAATGCCACTCCTGGGGGCTGGGGAGTGGGAGCCGCCGGGCTCCGCCGCCGGGCGGTAATTCCTTCCCGTCTACTCCCACGGAGGCATCTGCGCGGACCTGCCCCTCGGTGAGACGGTGGGAAAGATGCCAAAGTTGGAAACCAAAAAAAGAAAGCCAGCCCTGAGCCTTTGAGCATGCCCAGCTCAGACAGCCATGGAAGGGCTCTCAAAATGTGCAACCTCCATTGGGGGCGGCGTTCTGGGCTTGGGGAAACTGAGGGGGATGGGGAAGGGATAGAGGCCAGACAGAGGACCTGGAAAAGAAACCGGGGTCAATCACTTTCTTCTTTCCTTCAGTTTTCCTTCCTGATACCCTTGTCCTCTTCTTCCACCCATTCCCACTTGCCTTTTTCACCATCAGAAACCTGCTGAAGGTTTTTCCCACAGCCTGAGAGCACACAGGACAAAGAATCAAAGAGTATATAACACAGGGATAAGAACAATAAAACACCCACACAAACGTCTGCTCTACACCTTAAGGAACTGCTGGAGCAAGTATTAAGCGTCTATGTCAAACGCTGAGCTAATGTGTATGACCATGTCAATAGCTACTATACTATTGTCAGTTGCATTCCTTTTACTAGGTCTTATCTCCCTCACTCAAAATAAGACGGTGTTGATTTACTCCATGGCCCTATCTGCGGGTGATGTGGACAAAATGAACCCCTGGGAAGGACAGACATAACATCTCACACCTAATGGAAGAGCCTATGTTCATCATCTTGCCTCTCCCTGGCAACTTGGTCCCAACTGCCAAAGTTGCACACCATCTTTTTCTGACATACACCACAAGAAATACTGATGGAGCTGATAGTGAAAAAGAAAACGAAAGTATTGATGTTGAAAAAAATCAAAGTGATATCCATCTGAAGTCTTACTCACTGACAATGATTTGTAAAATTTAAGTGTACCGATTATTTACATTGAGCAGATGATACAGGCAAAATAGCTTTTGAATAGTACACTTAAGGGGCTACTAGAGTTTACCAGTTCCTGTCCATTTGATAAACTATTTCCTTTTCTCTTTTAAGATTCAGGCCCAATAAGGTCAAGAGATGTTTTCAGACCTCTTCAACTTTTCCTATAGCCTTTCCTTAAGAGAAGAGCAAGTTTTTAATCTTATTTAATCACCTCTCTCTTTGTTCACCACACTATCAGTTTGCCCTTCTGTGGTGACATCTCATGTTGGAAGACACTCAAAATAAAACTGAGGAAAAGCTACCTCCTCAGTCGAGTTTGCCTTGAGGTGGATGGAGTAAAGCATTCAAGGCCTTCATATGTTGGTGTGGAATACATCCAAAATGAGTAGAAACAGCTACAAACATCCATTGGGTGTATGAAAATAAAATGCACAAAGTATGAATTTAGGAAAATTGGAAATCTTAACAATGAAAAGCTTAAAGATTGATATCCTAGACTTGAGATGTTAACTACGTCCACCTGGAAGAAGTACACCAACATCCTTGACCCAAGGATTGTAGGTTATAGAATCCAAAACCGAAGGAGGGAATAGTATTAGAGCTTAAATTGTAAGATTCTGCTTTGGAGAAAGCAATGGATGACAGTGGAAACTCAACATACCTTTGCGAGATCTACACAGGTGATAAGCCTCCATCGATTTCCCTCTAACATAATTGAGGGAGGGGAATAAACTGGTTACCAAACAAAGAGTATTGGAGAGTTGACTGTAGCAGATTATAATGGTAAACCTGAAAAAGAGTTAACACCTTGTCACTTGATCTCCCCTCTGACACACGTTGTGCGTGATACAGTTTTCGATATTTCCTTTTTTATGTTGAGGTTTTCCTCATGTATTTGGTCATCGTGGGTAGCCTTCTTGAATCTTTGCTGTGTGCTTTTTCTGTTTTTTGGCACATGAAACCCAAGATTGATGGACCTATAGAAACAGTCCATTAGAACAAGGGGGCCTTGGGGATGTTGGGTGGGGGGTATGTAAAGGGGAGCTGATCTCAAGAAGGAAGAAAATGTTTTCAAATGAATTGTGGTAGCAATTGTACTATACTGCTTGATGTGATTGAACTATGGAATGGTATGATGGCTTGATTAGATCCTAATAAAATAGTTTGGAAAAAAATAATAAAATGCAATAAAAATTATCCACAAAAGAAACAGAGAAGGAAAGAAGAAAGAGAGAGAGAAAAGAAAGAACAAGTCTGGCACTCTGCTTCAAATAGGTCACAGTCAGAAAACTGAAGTCGTTCACTCTGTATACATGGATTCAAGATTCAGGGCCGACCAAACAACAACAAAGACAGCCCCTAGCAGCACATCTTTCTAGGTGTTTCTTGGCCATTGGAATATCCTCTTCAGTGAAATGTTTGTTCAAGTCCTTTGCCAATGTTTTGATTGTATATCTTTTCAATGTTAAATAGTGAAAGCATTATTTATTGAATATTGGACCCTTTGGAGTGTATGGTGCCCACGAACGTTCTCCCCGCCTGTAGGTGGCCATTTCATCCATCTGCTTAATTTTTATGAAGTCCCATTTCTCAAGTGTGTCCCTTGCTTGTGCTGTTGTTGTCCTATCTAAAATGTGGGAACTTTAGACATCATTGAGCAAAGCAGTAGAAAGTTTATTGGTTTTTATCAACTTTCTCTGCCAATGTAGTTGGAAACATAAAATTATACTTTGAAAAAAATCATTTCGCGTGAATGCCTTCTTTAATACTTTTGCCATCACTATTTATTATGTTTCTAATGATGGAATAGGTCATAAAATCTATGCTTCTTGATAGATGTAATACTATTAGGAAAAAATAAATATAAATTCAGAAAAAAATCCTAGGCTTTAGTGCACTGATATGGACTCATATATGCTGTTTGTAGGCAGGCAAATACATGGTCCGCATGGTCTGCTGTGTCAAGAATGATAAAGAGGAAGAGCATTACATTAATTGTCAAAAAGAACATTTCAGTATCTACTCTGTAGTACTATATAATCAACGACAGAATAATATCCATAAGCCTACAAGGAAGGCCATATAGCATAAATATATTATACCAACTTGCAGCCTTTGGCAATCACTGATTCCAAAGATGAAGAAATTGAAAATATTTACAACTTCTTCAGTCTGAAATGGATAAAATATGTTAATAACTAGGTTTATAACAATGATAATTACTGCTGATTGGAATATTTAAATACATAACAAAGTAAAATGATCAGCAGTTGGAAAATGTGGCCTTGATGATAGAAATGGTGCAAGAGAGCTCATGATAGAATTTTATAGGACCAATGACTACTCAACATAAAGGGCAATTATACATGTTGACCTTGATGAATAGAATACATAAGAATCAAATCAAATACATCCCTGCAAAGAGCTGATGGAAAGGCTAAAATACCAGGAGTAAGAACAAAATCAGAGACCAACTGGAACAGACTATCAATGACTAATATGCAAGTTCAAGTTGAAGTAAAAAAAAAATTAAAACAAGTCCAGGCAAGCCAAAGTACAACTTTGAGTATGTCTCATCTGAATTTAGAGGCCATTGAAAGAATAGATTGAATGGATTAAACACTAATGATCAGAGACTAAATTAGTTGTAGAGTGACATTAAGGAAAACTGCATTGAAGTGAAAGGACATGATATCATTCTTCTATGCACCATCTTTGTGACTCCCGCTGCACGTTCAGGTGTTGTTGTTGTTTCAGGTGTCATTGAGTCTGTGGTCACTTACAGAGACCCCGTGAACAACACAAGGAAACATCGCTTGGTCCCGCTCCAGCCTCATAACTGACCAATTTGAAGCTGTGGTTGGAGCTACTGTCCGTCCATCTCCTTAACGGTCTTCCTCTTCTTCACTGACCCTCTGCTTTACCAAGCATGATGTTTTCTCCAGGAAACATCACTTGGTCCTGCTCCAGCCTCATAACTGACCAATTTGAAGCTGTGGTTGGAGCCACTCCAGGACCTCACTTCTTCCAATAACACCCCCAAAGCACGTGAGACCAAGTCTTGCTATCCTTGCTCTCAAGGAACATTCTAGCTCTGTTTCTTTGAGGACAGATGTTTATTCTTCTGGCAGTTCATGGTCCTTTCAGTATTCTTCACCAACACCCCCATTCATTCTTCTGTGATTTTCCTTATTCATTATCCAATTTTCCATTCTTTTCCCATGAACTTTTGAAGCTCCTTCAGGATAGATGTTGAATTGTCCTTGACAATGAATAGGAATCTATTTTTCTTCAACTTGTCTCTCCTGGAATAGTAGATAATAACTTTGTCTTGTTCAAATGGGTTAATGCTAGTCAACTTCATTTACGTCATCCCTAAGTATCAATATTCAAGTATTTTGCTTCATTTTTTAAGAACTTTCAATCTTCCTAAATTAACATTTATACCTACCAGGTTCAGGTTACTAATGGATGCTACAGGTTTTTTTCTTTCCTTATTTTTAGTCATGTGATATTAGTAGAAGGTCCTGAAAGTTTTACTTCATGCATATGAGTAAGGTTGACTATTTTGAGAAGATAGCTGTCCCCCCAGTTGCATGTTGAGTACTTTCTAACCTGAAGACCTTGTCTTCCAACACTATATCAGACCATGCCCTGCTCTAGACATCAGGTTTTCACTGGACACACACACACACACACACACACACACACACACACACAATGAATGGCCAGATCCTTCTTCCTAGTCTATCTTTGTCTGTGCGTCACCCTGGTGGTATCTA